TAAAGTTTAACATTTAATTTAAAACTTATTCATACATGTAGTTATATTTATATGCACATAATGTAGCCCTTTAATCCAGTCACGTAAATGATATCATTATGAGTTTTCAGTGGAACAAATGGTAGCAGACAGTAGTTAGTAATTTGTTCCAGGTCACAGAGAGCAAATAGGGCTCAGAGCCCCGGTGATCCAGGCTCCAGTCATCAGAGGTCTTGGTGGACCTAACCTGCCTCTTTTGGCTTTTCTTGATGTTTGGCTTTGGACATAATGATGTTTGGGAAAGAAATGATATGTTAGTAGATAGAAATTATAATTGGAAACCCAAAGTTATAGAGAAAAAAATTGCATCTTTCCTATTTAATTATTCATCCTATAGCATATTTCTTTGTAATACACTTTGTACCCTCCTAGAGATGAATCACCTGCTTTGTCATTGGCCAACATACCACATATCTTATAGACACTCAGAAAAAGTCTCTTTGCCTGGATTCTCGCCATTGTGAGTTCTAAAGGCTGAGATCCCTGGGGTCTCTGGTGACGTTAGATATGATGTTAGACGGTGGCCTTCCTCTTTCTTTGCATGGACTCTCTTACTGGATCTCTGTGGCCTACTCAAGGTCTCTGGGCTTCATCAAAGTGGACTGGGTCAGTCAATGAGTACGTGGAGTTCTGCCTAATGTCGGTTCCCATGAAGGTGTTGACTACCTGTAAAACTTGACTTTTGGATAACTACAATGTATTTATCCACCTATTTGTTTGAGACAGGGTCTTGCTTTGTTGCCCCAGTTGGCTTGGATATCTCTGCATCCCAGAGTGGTCTCACATCTCTCCTCTCTGCCTTGCTTCCAGAGTGCGGGGATTATAGGCACGCACCACCACGCTCAGCTGCTTTCTTCCTGTGCGGAATCCCAGGAGGAAGGATCGTTAGCTTGCTCCCTGTTCTCCTTTCTCACCATTTCAGCATTTTCATTGCACATCCCTTAGGTGTTTTTCACCTCAGAGGAAGGAAAGCTTGCCTTGGTGTTTACATTTAATTATCTCCCTGTTATCCTGGGAAGTGGCCTCATGTATGGAGGACAACCCTGGACGGCAGGAGTGGATCTGCATCAATCCTGGCTCATTTACAAGACGAGTGATAGTTCTCAAATGAGTGTGACAAATACTTCACAGGCAATCAATACCAAACACTGCCATTACATCACCAATCCACTAACTAGCAAAGGTTAAACATTAGCTTGGACAAGTCAGGGAAGTTTGGTTGGGTTTTGAATCTATAGCCTGACTTTTTTTTTTTAAATATTGGATGATTCCAGTTGTTTTTCTTTCACTAAACTGTGAAAATTATTTATTGCATAGTTTTGAAATTGTAGGTTGGGGCAGGAGGATAGCTCATCAGCGCTTGTACAGCCTGCCTAGTAACAGGTACTATGCTAGGCTCTTTGGGGGAAAGAAACATAAGAACACACAGATTTGTCCCCAGGAAACTCAGTCATGTTGGAGAGATCAGAGATAAGCATAAAAATATTTAAAGCAACTCATAAATACCAAGCCCACTGTAAAGGTGGATGCAGCAGAAGACAGAGGAGGGTTAAGTACTAGGTCCAAGTGTAGACTCAGAGCAGTAAAGAAAAAAAAAGGCTTCCCTAGGGAAGATGGAACACAAGTGTCCCTAGATACACTGTAACTCCACAGTAATACAGAAAAGCTTTGATGGCAAAAGGGAGACGGGCCATCAGTTTCAGGATAAGGGAAGCCAGGAGAGATATTTTGCCTGCTTCGCTGTCTTAGCTGCCTGAGATGATGCTGTTAGCTCAGTTCCTATGGATAGGAACTATGGATATGGATATCCTATGGATAGCTCTTTAATAGCTAGTAAAGACTCCTAGTGATTTTCTGTCTCCAGAAACTTAAGCCTACTGAGCCTTTCTCCAGCTTTCATCTCTTCTTTCTAGAAGCTCTGGATTAGTATATTCTCATATGACAAACCCACCCAACTAGATGTCCTTTCCTGAAGAGTGGTCAATTTCCTTTGAAAGAGTTTTTCTTGCTTGCCAGTGGATTGAAGAAAAGGGGAAAACATTTTAATTTAACTAAGAAAAATAATGGCAAAATTAAGAAAAACTTGTCTGTGTGACTTGTTTTCTTCTAGAAGTCTATGAAATTCAATATTCCAAGATTAAAAGCATCTTCCCTGAAATTCATAGCCAATTGCTTTGCAAAATCTCAAATCGAACAGCTGGTGTTTTAAGGACTGCATATTTCCCGAACATCCATGAGTCATTCTCTTGTGGCTGAATGGTTTAGTTGCCCTGAAGTTGGTAATGGGCAGATGGTCAGACAGGGGAATGGGAAGGAAGCCCATCACTGGCAATTTGGGAATCCAGCTGAACTCATGCTTCCATGAGTAAAAAGGATCCTACAGATAATATTAATTATATGGCTATAGAGAAGCATTCCTTAGGCATATGTTACTGCTAATGCTTTTATTTTATATCAATTAAAAGAGTTCTTTTTAGCTATGTATTGACAAATGAATGGGTAATGGAAAGAAATTTCATTGCACTGGAAATAGTAAGAAATGGTGGCATTATTATTCCAGCTTAGGTCATAAAACTGACCTAGAATGGTTTTGGTGTTTGGAAAGATTTGATAGGGCTATCGACAGAGTTAATTCCATGTGCATGTGACCTGTGCAGCCACCTAAGTTCCCACATTTAGAGAGCCTAGTATTTGGTTTTATGGTTTGCCATCTAGGTACTCTGTAAATTTTAGGCAGGGACACTATATTTTCGTGTTGTATTGGGCTCCAAGAATTCTAAAATTGGTCCTATGTAGCTGTGTTCACACAGTTTCTTTGTTGCAACACCACTGTTTTTACTGTCTGCCATGAAATATGTAAATGAAAATATGGTACAGGAATCAAGAAAAATCACCAGAAGGATGGGTGTGGTGGTTTGAATATGCTTGGCCCAGAGAGTGGCAGTGTTAGGAGATGTGGCCTTGTTGGAGGAAGTTTGTCACTGTAGGTGTGGGATTTGTGGCTTCTCTCAGCTGCCTGAGGATATCAGTCTTCTCCTTTCTGCCTTCAGATAAAGATTTAAAACTCTCAGCTCCTCCTGCACCATGCCTGCCTGGATGTTGCCATGTTTCAGGCCTTAATGATAATGGATTGAACCTCTGAACCTATAAGCCAGCCCCAATTAAATGTTGTCCTTCATAAGAGTTGCCTTGGTCATGATGTATCTTCATAGCAATGGAAATCCTAGCTAAGACAGTGAATGTGAAGAAAAGAATAAGCACTTTATGGCTACATTTCTCATTGTGATATCACAGGAAAAGGTGGTTCAACTAGTTTCTGCTAAGTATGCACTTAAATATTCTTGAGTTTAGAGTCAGATTTTGGTGGTAGAGTGTATGTGTAGCACACAGAAAACTCCAGATATAACACTCAAGACTCTCATGCCTAAAAGGTTAACACTTTATTCTTCATATTCAACAAGCCTAAAGTGACCTTACCTTTCTCAACTCATGGTGAAAATCATTCTTATATAACAAGTCATTCATTCCTAGATCTTCTGCAAAGCAAATGTTCTTTTGTAATTCTGTTTAAGTAGGCTAGTATATACCACACGAAGTCAATACATATTTTGAGAAGATTATGTATTCTTTGAACCTATGTCTTTAGAGTCTGACAATATGTCCAGATATTATGGTGTTAAGAACAAAGGAAACATAGGCATGATCTTCGAGCCAGTGGATGGGTGAAGCACAGGTAGCTAAAGAACAGGAAAACAGGTACCTTTTCTTCTATAGAGGTATTTATTGTTCTCTGAATATCCCTGGAAGTTATATCACCAACTCCTAGGTAGTAGCTGCAATTCCTTTTACAATTGCTTTGGTCTAAAGGTAGCAATAGAAAATTTGGTGCTACTGATCCAAATGTTAATCTTCTTCATCATGTTTATACTTTTACTCAAAGCTGCAGAAAAATATAAACATTTTCATCATTCAATAAACCTTCAAGCCTGTGTTTCCAGGCTAGGAGTAGCAGCTGCTGCTGTGGTTATTGATTGGTTGAGTTCAAGCTGTCTCAGTGAATAAAGCTGTGACTTCTAGGAAGACTGCTTACAAAATAGCAAACTGATTTGGTAATGATGGTAAGATAGGGAATTTTTTATATTAAGGATTTCTTTCTTACAATAGCAAGTTGTCACATCCTCAGCAACAACACAGGGACAATGATAGAAGCATGAGACCCAGGAAACAATCGCAGATATGAGGTATAGTACTGCTACAGTTTGAATGCATGTCCTTAAGTTCCTAAGTAGGAAACTCAGCCCTCAAATTCACATGTTGGTGGTATGGGGGGGGTTGCTAGGTAACTAGGATGGATGGGTTCATGAACATGGAGCCCAAGTACTGTACTAGTGCATTTTAGAGTGAATTATACAGGTGTTCTAGGAAACATACATGAGAGAAAGTGATTTCGTCAATTCTTAATGTTTGAAAATGCCATCATGTTTGGCTGAATTATATCTTACAGAACTATCTTCAGTTCTAGACTAAAGGCCAGTTTTCCTCAGAAATTTTCCAGTGTCTTTCTAACTTAGTATCCAGTGTTGTTGCAGTTAGCCTGTTCTGCATACATGTATTCAACCAAGGTTAAAGGCCTTTGAAAAAGAAAAACTATGTCTGTACCAAATACGTGCATACTGTGCTTCTCATCATTATGAGTTTTGTCTTGTTCCTAAATTAAATCACAACCATTTATAAAATGTTAATATTGATTTATGAGTTGTAAGCAGTCTAGAGATAATTTGAAGTATGTGGGGGACACGTATAGTGGCCATCCCTTGTAGAATAGATGACTTGGGCATCTATGTTGGTCGACAGCACGGGTACCTGGGAGCCGTCTCCATGGACACCGGGAAGTGTCTGTATTGAGTCTCAACCTATTAGAGTTTCTTGCTCCTTAAATTTAATGCACTTGTGTTTCTTTTAGGGACATGGAGAAATGCTTAATAACTCCTGTCTCTGAGCCGTTTGTGTCCTGAAGTTCTGCTGTAGTGCACTTGATGTGGTTGGTATAAGGACTTGTTTCCATTAGAAACTTGGGAGCATTCATTATAGAATGTCTTTGACAATTCCTATTGTGTTTCTCCGCCCTCTTTTTCTATGACTCTTGATTAGATAGGGCCTCCAGAATTGGTCTGCAATTCTCTTAACATTTCTCTCAGACTTCCTGCTTCTTTTTTTGTTCTGTTTCATGTGAGAGTTCATTTATTTTTTTTAATCCCCCAATGCTTATACTAAAAATCTAATTTAGTCATGATAATATTAATATCTAAGAATTCTTTCTTTAACAATATTGCTTTTTTAAAAATAAAACATAGTGTTCTGCTTTTATGTGATTAGTTTAGACAGTTGGGAATCACAGAAGACCCTAAAATTTTCAGTAAATTTCTGTTTATTAAAGATTTCCAGTATGTGATATTCTATAATAACAGTACAACATTGACTAGGATGGCTGTATTCTTGCTGTACCCTTATCAATTTTTACTTATTTTTCTGCCTCCATTTTTTTTTTTTTTTTTTGAGATGCTGAGGATAAAGCTCAGGGCCATGTGCAGCCAATCGCTGGCACTTGTTTTTCTACTGAAAACTGCTTGGGCACTGTTTATTTATTTACTCTGTGCGTGTGTGTGTGTGTGTGTGTGTGTGTGTGTGTAAGTGCCTTTACCATCTGAGCCACCTCACTAACCCTGCTGATGTTTTGATTAAAAACAACTTCATGTTTGTTTATTTTGTCCTGGGTTTTACAGCTCTCTGAGCCTCTCAGAATTCCTAAAGACAAAGAATGAGGATATAGTCCGTCTGTATGTCTTTGTTCTCTGACTTGCAAAGTAAGTTGCTACTTTTTTTAACCTTTAACAGGTCCTGTCCACTCATGCCCTGCCCACTCCTGTCCCACTTTTCCCACTCCTGCCCCACCTACTCTTGTCTGGCCCCACTCCACCCCTGCCCTGTCTACTCCTGTCCTGCCCCATCCCACTTCTGCCCCGCCCACTCCTGCCCCATCCCACTTCTGCCCCTCCTACTCCTGCCCCATCCACTGTCCATTCCGGTTACACCTACAGCAGCTGACACCTTTCCTACTCATTCATTTACTGTAGTACAATGGGGTTTGAGAAATCAGAGGCGATAAACAAAATTTCATTTTGCTACCATCAATCAGCAAATGGGAAAATATCAATTAAAAAACCTTCAATCAGTTGCTGCGATTAGTACTTTGGGGGCTCTAGTAAGAGATTTGGAATCCACTTGAAATACAAATGTGAAATAATTATGAATTCAAACTGAATACAATTTCTGTTGCTTGTCTCCTGTAGCACAGAAAGATAGAAATACAAACGTCTTTCCGAGTACTTACTAAATGTTATACAATTACATCTTATCAACACGGGCTTGGGGCTAAAATGTTCAATAAAACCACACTTTCTCTCCTCCGTATCGGTAGCCTTTCGAAGCACAGGAGACTTAGCCCATTAGTGTTTCTGGCTCTGAGTGATTTCTCAGCGGCCCAGTAGGGATGGCTGACGGCTACAAGCAGGTGCCGCTGACAAATCCCGTTTCTCATTCTTACAGATGCCGTGCATTCTGTCTCTTGCCAGCTCCTTTTCCTTCGCAGCCTCTGAAATTGTGTTTTGTAAGAAGTCACTTGCCTATCACCACATGGTTCTCTGTTACAATCGGCAAATGTCGAAAGCAATCAGCTGCAGTATCAGCTTTCCATCGGATTCCCCCGAGCCCCAAGGCAGATAATAACTTCTTGCAATATTTTCTTAATGTAAATGGAAACAGATACTAACCCAGGCAAATGATCCCTCCTGAGCCAGCTGTCCTTTGCAATATGTGATCCCCAAGATTACATGAATATTTATTGGCTCTTCAGGTTTTTTTTCCCCCACTGAAGCCAAAGTTTCACTAACAGGGTATAGCATGCTTTAACTTGAAATGGTGCAATTTTGCATGACTAAAAAAAAAAAACCTCAAATATGAAAAGGCTCTAAGCGAAGGGCCCAGAAGCTAGGAGATCATGCATTAACTTTGAAAACAACTTGTAGTGTGACCTCCGAGTGGTTAACTGAATTGTGTCAGCACGTGAGAGTTCCGCGTGTGGGTCTCTTCTTCCTAAGCACCACACCCCGTAGCTTATTTTCCGCCTCTGTTTATGGATATTTTCTTTCACCACTTGTATTTGCAGTACTGCAGCTACACACATTATCACTTCTAACTAAACAATGCTTTACATACTATGTTTCTGCAAAAATTTTCTGAGATTGTTATTGCAAAATGACTTTTTTTCCCCCGCTAAAATGAGAAATGCAGACGGTCCAGGGAGTCCCCAGATGTATGCAGCAAGATGACAATTATCCTCCAGGGAGAAAAGACCAAGAGCAAAATCATACTTCACTCAAGATGTATAGACAGAACAAAACCAAAAACCAAAAACCAAAAAAAAAAAAATGACAACGTTTTTAGTGTTGTTGGTCTCTAGGGAAAAAGTATAATGTAAAGTTGAAGTGAGATACTGCTTTGTGCCTTCTGGGATGGTTAATGTGTCTAACATGAAATGATCTCAAAGTGGGAAAGCCTGGAAATAATTTCAAAGCATCTAGCACTTCTATCCAAGCCACTGAGGACCAGGCATCCCATGATCCATCACTCTCATCCACAATACTTACCAAATGAAAATATCTTCGCATGCTCTTTTGAAAATAGTGAGCCTGGTTTCACACAAAGCCTTACAGGAAGATGCCTATCAGCTCTATTTGTGATTATTCCAAGCAGGAAGCAACCCCAAAGTCCGTCATCTAATGACTGATAAACTGTGGCACATCCATACAATGGAGAACTATGAAATCATGCAAACCAAATATTGGTACAAGAGACAACACCAGCAAAGCTAAAATGAATTATGTGAGATGCAAAATGTCAGAGCCAGGGGCTCGGTACAACCATTTTATACAGGGTAAGGTAAAATAGTATAACAGAAAAAAATATCAGTGGTTCACAGAGGCAGGTAGGTGTGAGGCCTTATGACTTCGTTTTGACCACAGCTGTAAAACTAAACATACTCATTAAAAGATAGACTACCAGTTACACTACAGTTTACAGATTTCTATTCTACTGAAATCAAACCTTTAAAATCAAACAAGAGGAAAGAGTTGAGAAACAGAGTGTTGAGGGGCTCTGGGAATCACCGGAGAGGAAATGCTATGTAATCTGGGTTTGGCAAGGCACATAGGACCCTCCCAAATGGTGGTGTGGAGAGGGGAAATATCACGACCACCTGTGCTGTCACTTGCAGATCTGTGGGTTAGTGAGATCTGTTATGTGTAGAGCCGAGCAGCAGGGGATACAAACACCAGAGAGCCTGGCACCTAGGAGAGAGGACAAATCATGGAAGGTCACACCTGCTGTGCAGGTCACACCTGCTGTGCAGGTTCTGGCTTTAATCTGAGAGCCGAATGAGTGCTGCTTATCATGGA